AATATATGTATGTTCTAGAAAATTCATAGTATTGCCTTTCTGTGTCGTGCTTTATTGTACTACAGCTCTCATTCTGTGTTTTACCCTTTCACTCAGCTTTGTGTTTTTTCAATATATTTTTATTGATCTCAGAGAGGAAGGGAGAGAGAGAGAAACAGTGATGAAAGAAAAAATTCCTCTGGTCATGATTTTGCCCTTTTTGTTTAATTTAATACCTGATTATGTTGCCTCAATCTCCTGTGCAATCTCCTTTGCACTTGATGGTGTGTCATTCATTATGGGTAGTTACAGAATTTTCATAATTAATCTGTAATTGCAATACTTGCATAGCATTTCCCATGAAAAATGATTTACAAATTAAACCCAATCTCACCTTACATAATTATCACCGGTCTGACTCTGACGAATGTGCATGAAGCCCTTGCGTGACAGGGCTCTCTCTAATGACAATGTGTTGATTTTCTAATCAACAAAGGTTAAGTAGCATTTTTGCTTGTAGACCTACAATTTAAACTTAGGACACTTGTCATCAAGAAAGATTTCTGTAGAGCACATGAGTTAAACTCAAATAATTATCATGGGTTCTAATGCATTAACATCTTTTGCATAATATATAATGACCATTTTCAGCACAAAAAAATTTTTCTTCATATGGACTAAATCAGTAAAAGTACTTTCCAGCTCACTGACCGATTTAATAAATCAGAGGCCATCTAAGTAAGAAAAGAGCATCATTTATTCAGTTTTTCTTTCAAGAGAAATGACATCCCACTTATCTGCTTTATAAATTAAAAAGAGAGAGTACAAAACTTTATTTAATGGAGGCAGCAAATACAAATTAGACTTCAGTCATCTGTTACGGTCAATTAAGGGAAGGAGGAGGAAAAGTTGGGCAGCAGTGCAATGAAGGAAAAAGAAGGGAAGGAAATTTAGGGCAAATTGAGAGTAATTTACTCAAATATAGAGATGGAGACATATAAGTACAGAGGGAGAGGTTGTACATCACGGAGCAACTTAGAGCTGGAAGGAATCAGAGACATCACCTAGTTCAACCTTCTTTTTTATGGATAGGAAAAATTGATGCTGAGAGAGACTAAGAGGTTTGATGAAAGCCACACAGCTAACCCAAAACAGTCAACAGTCCTGATGGGGAGAGAGAGGCAGGAAGGAAGAATGACAAATGCAAAAGCTCAGAAAGACCCAGGACCAGCCCTCTGGTGAAAGGCAGAGAGGCAAAGAAACAGAAAAGGCTGCCACCTCTAACCCTTTATGGAATGAGGCCTACATACATGAAATATCTAAGTATTTGCCTTAATAAGAATAAAATTATGATTTAATCTAGATTTATTTGCTCTGCCAATTGGCCCTTTTTTAATCTGATTTTTTTGGTCATATTAACAGTTACTTAGAGTCTTTTAACAATCTCTTCTTCAAACTCTCAACTATTACTGAGACACATTAAAATGAATTATTTCCTAATTAAATACATCCCAGATAGATTGAAAAAGTAGAATGTTAAGAGAAGTAAGATCATAAAAGTGCTGGAAGAAAATATAGTTGAATAATTATATTATTTTGGATCAAGAAGTTTGTTCTAAATCTAATACCAAAGGCAGAAATCATACACATAAAATAGATGGATGTGACTACATAAACATTCAAAACTTTCAAAGGGAAAAAGAAATATTATATACGTATTAACAGGCACAACTGGAAGAAGGTAGTTATCACATTTACAACAAAGAGTGAAAGCCCAAAATATGGTTATAAATGAATAAGAAATAAGACTTCTCTTCCCCCCAAGAAGAAACAAAATATAAGAATTGGTAACACAGAGAAATCATTCAAATCACAGTATTTGAAGCAATGAACTCTTCTCCTCTCAACCTATAAATTCAAAAGGCTCCTGCCTAGGATTAGACTTGGTGTGGAGAAGGTGGGCATATCATACTCCATGGGTGAAATACAAATTGTTAAATTATTCTTAGAGGAAAATATATTTCCAATGATTTTTAAAATGTAGCTCTGGCCAGGATTGCTCAAAGGTTAGAGTGTCAGCCTGCCCACTGAAAGGTCAGTGGTTTAATTCCTGGTCAAGGGCATATCCCCCCGGGTTGTAAGTTCAATCCCCAGCCCCTGGTCAGAGCATGTGCAGGAGGCAACCAATCAATGTGTCTCTCTCACATTGATGTTTCTATTTCTCTCCTCTCTTTCTCCTCTCTCTCCACTCCTGCTCTCCACTCTCTCTGAAAATCAATGGAAAAAATTATCCTCAGGTGAAGATTTAAAAAATGATAATAATGAAAGTAAAATGTATATACCCTTGTGCCCAGCAATTACAACTATAAGAATTAATTCTAAGTAAAAACTGGACAAGTGTACAAAGGTTCTTACAGGGATGGATATTCATTACAGTATCATAGAAAATGGAAATTGGTTGGTAGTACAGTGGTTGTGGAAGAGCAAACCAAGTTCTCACAGGGCAAGCTATGTGCAGGCTTAAACAAGATGTCCTACTTGCACATTGCTTAGAAAATGTTTTGTGATATATTGAGTGCAAAAAAGCATATTTCAAAACAATGTGTATATCATGATTGCATTTCTTCCTTTGCCTTATTTTTTACACATGTGTAAGCTCATAGATAAAAGTAGGAAAGGCTATTTGTTAAAGTGAAAGTTATATCTGAGTAGCATTACAGATTCTCTTTTTCATTTCACTTATCAGTATGTTTACAATTTCCACAGTGAGAAACTGTTACATTTGTAATAAGGAGAAAAGAGAGGGCGATATCTAAAAACAAGGATTTTTAAATTTTAGCGTATTTTGATAGGATGTAGTGGTGAAAATTTAAATGGCAAAGCCTTAATTGGACAAAAAGCCCTTGGGAAACCCTTATTGCAAAAACAAAACCCATAGGGGCTAAAATTATAGAAGCCAAATTAAAATTTTAACACATAAAAGGTGACTAATTGATTGAAATTCTTCCAAATCATGGCAAAGGCCCCAATTCTCTGCAGCACAGAGGTGTGGGGCTGAGCTGACCAGCAGATTGCAAAATGGGAAATCCTTCCAAGTGGTTGTTTCTTATAACTTCTTTGTCATCTACTATCCCATAGCTTTGATCAAAAAGGGATTGGACTCCCTTCAATTAATCCTGTCTTCAAATATTTTCTTTAATAAATAATCCCTGGAGAATCATTATTCAAATCTATTAACTACCCAGTGAGAGAATGCAGGCCTTGAGTTTATACAGATAACAGAGTGCTTCGTTTGTCATTTCATGGCCGAGGATTTTCAGATCCAATAAAATGCTAATCCGTCTCTGCTGCTCAGGCCTTTGGCCACCAGCCCTGTCTGCTAAGTCCGCCACATTGTACACTTTTTCTCACCATAATAGAACAGGTGATGAGAATCAAACCCCCAATTACCAACTTTCCTTAACTCTCACAGTCCTACAGACCACTCCATCTTTGAAGACATCCAAACATATGGACATCTATGGGCACTGACTCTAACGCTCTTCTTCTGCATCAGATGGTCAATACTGAACAGAGTTTTAAGACCATAGACAAAAGAATAAGGCAGATCCGACACAACATGGCCACTTTGGAGCTTTGAGTCCTTGAGTAAACTTCTGAATTTCTCTAAGCCTCAGTTTTCTCATCTGTACAATGGCTGTAGTGATGATAATGCCTACCTGGCATTGTGAGAACCGGGTGATTAACATATATAAGGTAAGGGGGAGAGAACCTACTACATAGCCTCCAATAAAAGTGTAACTTTTATTTTATTAACAGTATCTTTTTTCTAAATCTCATCACATATTTTGTTTAATAATTTTAACTACAATTCAGTTTATTTAATGTCCAGAAAAGTTGTTACTCTAAAATGCAGACATGTATATAAACTTGAGTTCCTCCCTTTGTACCAACTGCTTTAAAAAAAAAAGCATAGCTAAGGTCATTACAGACACAATTAAACCCACCTTCATATAATGCTCCAACTAATCCTTCGATGAAATTGGTTAGGAATATTTTAATATGCTCATGGACCTCCATCTAACTCTGTAACTTACTCCAGAAATCACAGTGAACTTGCTCTTTGTGCTGTATGTCTTACAGTGACATTTAGACAAAAGCAATGAAATTTGACCTGACTTGGTAATAAATGTGGTGTGGTTGACTTTTGTGAAAAAGTATTAATTCCAACTTCCAACCACTGCAGACAAGGACCTGGGAATCCTTACCGTGAACTCTGCAGCAAAGCATTCCATGAGACAACCACATTTCAAATGGGTGTTTCCCTTCCAACTAATTGACTTGATAACTATGTTATTATACTCATGTCTCTCTGCCTTCATATATTTCTGTCAATAGATAGTGGAACTGAAGGACATGAGATTAAAGAACAAAAAAAACAGATTTCTATAAACTTCTTTTCTATAGGAAACTAGATAAGACTTCCAAAACAACTTATATATTTTTTGTGTATCTCCAAACATTTTATTTCTGTAGCTAAGTGATTGCATCTCAGAAGATGGCCTCTTTTAATTAGGCATTATAGCTTTAAGGAAGAAAGCATCTAGTTTCTCTATTAAGCAAGACCCAGTGAAAGTGAGCATGCCAGTCTGGGCAGCTTGACTCAGTGGCTGAGCATCGACCTATGAACCAGGAGGTCATGCTTCCATTTTTGGTCAGGGCACATGCCTGAGTTGCCGGCTCAATCCCCAGTGTGGGGCATGCAGGAGGCAGCCAATCGATTCTCTCTCACCATTGATGTTTCTCTCTCCCTCCCTCTCTCTCTCTCTCTCTCTCTCTCTCTCTCTCTCTCTCTATTACTCTCTGAAATCAATAAAAATATTTTTTAAAAGAAAGAAAATGAATGTGCTAGCTGCGCTTGGCCATCTCATCTCCTTCCACAATTGTTCAAGGCATGATGAATGAAAACAGCTATAGCAGAGGTTCCACCATCTGAGCTGCATGCCTTCTGTCATTCCCAGGTGGTGCTGGAGGTCAGCAGGGCTTCCTGGGCTGCATCCGCTCCCTGAGGATGAATGGGGTGACCCTGGATCTGGAGGAAAGAGCAAAGGTCACTTCCGGGTTTAAATCCGGGTGCTCAGGCCACTGCACCAGTTATGGGGCTAACTGTGAGAATGGAGGCAAATGCATAGAGAAATACCATGGTTACTCCTGTGACTGCTCCAACACGGCATATGATGGAACATTTTGCAACAAAGGTAAGGCAGAACCAGTTTCTGGTCATGTTTACAGATCTCTTTAAGCCTAAATCATCTGCATAATGATTTCTCAGCTGCACAAGGAGCACCTTTATTCTCAAAATGTCCAGAATTCTTCACCCACCTTAGGTAGGGAGTCTCCATCAGTCCCTAATCTGATATTTAATATGATGAGATAAGAGAAGCTTTGAGTGAGGTGCAGAATTTCCCCCAAATTCCAACAAACTGTGCACTGACTACAACATTACCAAGCAAATAGCTATGTCACACCTTCATGCTGAGTGACAGAGTCAGTGGTCTCTGAAAGGGGACTCAGGCCTGACACTCCCACTTAGAGACATCAGAGGAGTCAACACACTGGACGTACAGGTTGCCAAAGGGTTCAGTGAATGCAACCCAGGGTCTTGACACCCATCCCACCCTCAGCTCTGGTTGCTAAGAGACTGGATTCAAGCTGGACTTCCAAGAAAGCCCCTTTGTCCAGTTACTATCATTGTGACTCTTACACAGGATCCTCTGTGGGTAGTTCTCAGCCTCAGTTATACTGCAGGAAACCTGAGACACCACGTCTAATCATTCAGCTCAGAGCATCTGTTATTACTTTTATTTTCAGTCTTGAGTGATTTCTTTTATCCTCAGGAAAGTCTGCAGAGCCAGTCAGCAGACTACAAGAGCCTGGTGCACATGCATGTTGTCATACACTTTGGGGTCCAGTGTGACCAGAAAAAAATCACTCAACTGAATGCAACCTGGGCTGCATTCCCTTCCCATAAGTAAGCAAGAGGGCTGGAGAGAAGCAGACTGGCCCCCTTCCTGAGCCACACCTGAAATGCATGTGAATCTCTCTGCTCTTTCTAAATGAATGTGCAGCCTTTGGGTAACATTTTCTGCACATGGTTGGTATGTCTCTTCATAAGAAGCTTTACATAAGCAGCCTATTCATACTCTTGGAAATACATACAGGGAGATTGTGTTGGCATTATTCACACCAGATGCCACCCAGAAGGAGGAATTATTCCACAACATTCTCTGTACATCCAGGCTACTGTCTGGCAGTACTGTCATATGAGCACACAAATGAGGTCAAACAGGGCTTGAAGAATGAGCACGAGACGACAGCTGAGGCGGGAAGGAACACCACCACTGAATAATGCTGCTGCACATTAATGGGGTGACTCCAGGGCGTCTTTCTGCTCGGGACCACATGGTTCCATGATTTTCCTGTGGCACACAATGGGACGGGTTTGCAGAACACATTAATTTTGCAATTGTAGAAATGACAGTCTTGCAATTACTATTTGTTGTGCTTGATGCTAATTTAATGCAGTCATTCCATTGCCAAAGTGATGTCTGAATGCAGTCAAGCGAGCGCTAATGCCTGAGAGATTTCACTCATGAGTACCCATTTAAAGAAAATTGCAGGCCCCTTGTTTTTGGAGAGTTATATTATACATGGTAGTTCGTACAAAACCTCTGGGGTTAATAGGCAATATTCACAAATAGAAGGGCAGCTTTGCCCATTAAAGTCAAATGAAGCCTGTGGGTGTCCTTTGACCTTTTCTCAAAGGGTTTACACAAAAGACACCAAATATTCTTAGTGTCTGTTGAGCTGGAGGAGTTTACATTTGACTCAATTAGTGGCTAGAGCCAAAACAAAATTTTAAATAAAAAACTGCAGAACATATTTGGAAAGTATTTGTGAGCATGCTTCTGAGTCCAGACAAGTTTCTTCTTGACTTGGGAGAACGATGGTGTTGTTGGTCAGAGGAATCTTGCAGCCTCCTGGGAAAGTGTTGTCTGCAGTAAGGCAAGCTCGCTCATGGACGGGATCTTCCCTCTCAAACCTCCAGTCACGTACTCTTCTGTTTGGGGCCCCACCTCTCAGGTATCCTGGTGTTTACACAGCAGCTTCTGTGACCACACCCTCACAGTGGGGCTGCAGCAAATAGCTTGGCTTCTAGAAAGAGCAGCCATAGTCACCCACCAACAAAAGAGCTCATGAAAGTCCTTGGCAGGCCTTCCTTTGATAGCACATGTCTGTGCCTCTGAATGTGGAGTTAATGTTCACAATATTTAGTTAAGTGAATAAAGCAAATCCTAACACCACACACAGCCTGATTTGTTTATACAAAATCACACACACACACACACACACACACACACACACACACACAAGCAAACTGTGAGAAAGCACACCAAAATATTAACTGTCATTATTTTTAGAGGAGGGTGAAAACACCAGTATTTATTTTCATTTCTTTTTTGCTACATTTTCTACTCTTTACTCACTGATGTGTTACCTCTAACCTCATTTTTGCCTCTTTTGTGGAAGAACAGTACTAAGAGTTATTCAAGAGTCAACTATTTCTAATCAGAAAATATCTAGTTATAAACCAGAAATCATCAAACCATCTAATCCTACTATCTGGAATGGAGTAGCATCTCAGATGGGAAGTGCATATAATTAAATTACCCATGAACTATCCATCTCTCAATACATTTAAGAGAGCCCAGTTGTTCACAAGCCTCCAAAGCAATCACCCTTCATACAGGCACTACAAGAAGAATTGTCCTGTTGGGGCCAAGTTGTATGAGAATAAAAGCTTGAGATACTTGTATCACACTCAGCCATGTGAGAGGCTCACAGTATGACAGGCAGGGAACCCAACACAGCCCGAGGGGCATATCAGCCAGGTCTCTCCCATCTCTCCTGCTTGGATGAGCCATCCAGGGTAATGGTGGCACATGACCCACACTATTTATACACTCTCTGTGTCCTCTCTCTCTCCCCCTCTTCTCCTCCCTCTCCCTTCCTCCCTCCTTCTTTCTCTCCCCCCTCCCTTTTTTTCTCTTGGCCATATTTAGGTGTAAGCTGTATTCTTTTATTGACTTATTTAACAAACATTTGGTGAACACCTGATATGCCTGGTAGCCTTCAATGTGTGCTTGAGTTTGCCTATATTGAAATTTTCAAAACATCTCAATGGTTTATGGATAAGAAATCAGGAAAATCTAGAGAACATGAATGCAGTGGATGAGAATTAGCTGAAAACAGTTTGTCATTATGGCCCCTTCACTGAGCCAAGTTTCACAGAAACTTATCATCAGGAGGCACAAAAATATCTTCTAATTCAGTTGCCTGCACATTTTTTATGTTCATCTGCTAAAACAGAATTGCAATTGAAAAATACATATCTTTAAATACTCTGAAACCATTTTTGAGCTTAGGGAGTTCTGTTTTCTTCCCAAACATTTGCTTGTCACCCATATAGGCCAAAATTAGAAGAACCAAAGTCACAGGACTGCAGAGTGAGTAAGAGTGATGGATGGATGCTTCAATAAGTACAGTTATCATCATTTATAGTCACACAATACACAGCACCCCATGGGGTCCAGCTACATCTCCTGCTCTCCCTATGAGAATCATGGCATGAACTAACATTTTATGATTTGTGTTATTAATGTGCTAGAAGAAACTGTTTATGGCCAACTCAAGTGCCTGCTTAGAAAATACATGACGGAAGCAGATGTGGGTTTGAATCCAGCTTCCTCACAGGCCAGTTGTGTAACCTCAAGCAAATTGCTTAATTCTATTTGGCCTCCTCTTTAGAAATACATACATAATACCTACTTCTTCATCCCATGGTGAGGATCCTAGAGAATAATGAGAACAAATTTCCAAATAGAGATCCTGGCACATATCAATCTAACAGCAGATGTCACTTGTCACTCTCAGCACTCCCCTTTTGGGTTTGTGTTTTTGTTTTTATTTTAAATCACCTCGCTATTTAGTCCTTCCCTAAAAGCTTTAAATGCCAGATGGCTCACTGGCATTTCAGTCACCTCTGAGTACTGGATTGTCACTCTGCTACTTCAGGAACAAAGACAGTGTTGTAAAACATCAACTTGACTTAATTATGGTCACAGTGATAGTATTCTGAAGGTGAAACTGTGATCTCCGACACCTAAGCCCTTATGGACTAAAGAACACTTGGGTTATCTGGAAGACATAGTTGGAGACAACAATCACCACATCCCAGGGGTCCTGCCCAGTAGTGCAATTCCTGATGCAAAGTATCCATCCCTGTCAAGAACCAACTTGGGTCCCTTAGCAACTGCTATGGCCCTTCATAATACAAAGCCCATCAGAAGACAGAAAGCATTGAAAGAATCCAGAACTCTATTTTGCTGGAAGGAGACCTCTCACTCAAGTTCAAGGTAAACCTCTCTAAGGGAGAAAGGATTTCCCACCTTGCCTCCTAGAGGAATGTTGTATAGCAGGTGGAAGAGGAGAATTTGTCCAAAGAGCTCTAACATTTCTTCTCATGGCTCCAGGCCCAGCCCAGGGAGCAGAGTGTGTCTATAGGCTACCTTTTCAGAGCAGGTTTGAAGCCTTTTAGGAAAAATTAATTAATAAAAAATGTTATAAACAAGTGAAGGGGAAAAAGAAGAGAACTATTGGAGTTCTGCACGTTAGAATCTCATCCCTATATGAAACTGGTTTAGCTGTTGGCAACACTGGCCGTTTTTGCTCAGGTCTACTAATAAATACCCAGTCTTGACCCCAGCTGGGAGGAGAGTTTCACACCGGCGGGGAGAGGTGCTTTTCACGGGCTTCTTTTTCATTTCCAGTTGAAACAGGAGGCTTTCTGGTTTGGATGATGCCCCAAAGGAACAAGAATAGACTTCTTTTTCCTCTTCCTCTTAGTGTTATTCAAGAAGGGGAAAGATTCCTTCTCTTTTCATATGTTTCTTGAATCTTCAGACCTTAAGATGCAACTTAAAAATATCATGAAAACATATGAAGATAATCTGATTAAAAGCTTTTAAAAAAGAAAAGAGAAAATGTCCTAGCCAGTTTGGCTCAGTGGATGGAGCATTGGCTTGGGGACTAAAGGGTCCTGGCTTCGATTCTGGTCAAGGGCACATGCCTGGGTTGCAGACTTGATCCCCAGTAGGGGGCATGCAGGAGGCAGCCAGTTGATGTTTTGCTCTCACAT